CCCATATGGAGTATGCAGCACCAGTCTGGAACCCACACCCGGTCAAGCACGTCAAGAAGTTAGAGAAAGTACAAAGGTTTGCAACAAGGCTAGTCCCAGAGCTCAAGGGAATGTCGTACGAGGAAAGGTTAAGGGAAATCGGACTGACGACACTGGAGGACAGAAGGGCCAGGGGAGACATGATAACGACATACAAGATACTGCGGGGAATAGACAAGGTGGACAGAGATAGGATGTTCCAGAGATGGGACACAGGGACAAGGGGTCACAACTGGAAGCTGAAGACTCAGACGAGTCACAGGGACGTTAGGAAGTATTTCTTCAGTCATAGAGTTGTCAGCAAGTGGAATAGCCTAGCAAGTGAAGTAGTGGAGGCAGGATCCATACATAGTTTTAAGAAGAGGTATGACAAAGCTCAGGAAGCAGAGAGAGAGAGGATCCAGTAGCGATCAGTGAAGAGGCGGGGCCAGGAGCTGAGTCTCGACCCCTGCAACCACAATTAGGTGAGTACAATTAGGTGAGTACACACACAACTGAGGAGGAGGTGAAGAAGCTGCTAATGGACATTGATACCTCAAAGGCAATGGGACCGGACAACATCTCCCCGTGGGTCCTTAGGGAGGGAGCGGATATGCTGTGTGTGCCATTAACCACAATCTTCAACACCTCCCTTGAAACTGGGCAACTACCTGAGCTATGGAAGACGGCAAATGTAGTTAACATTTTTAAAAAAGGAGACAGAAAAGTGGCACTAAACTATAGACCAGTGTCAATGACGTGTGAAGTATGCAAAGTTATGGAGAAAATTATCAGGAGGAGAGTGGTGGAGCACCTGGAAAGGAACAAGATTATAAACGCCAACCAGCACGGATTTATGGAAGGCAAACTCTGTGTCAGAAACCTGAAGTTTTATGATAAAGTAACAGAAGAGAGAGGGGTGGGTTGACTGCATCTTCTTGGACTGCAAGAAGGTCTGTGACACAGTTCCTCACAAAAGATTAGTGCAGAAGGTAGAGAATCAGGCGCGTATGACAGGAAGGGCACTGCAATGGATCAGAGAATACCTGACAGGGAGGCAACAACGAATCATGGTACATGATGATGTATCACAGTGGGCACCTGTGACGAGCGGGTCCCACAGGGGTCGGTCCAATGACCAGTGCTATTTTTGGTATATGTGTATGACATGATGGAAGGGGTTAGACTCAGAAGTGTCCCTGTTCGCAGAAGATGTGAAGTTAATGAGGAAAATTAAATCAGACGAGGATCAGGCAGGACTTTAAAGAGTGCTGGACAGACTGGACATCTGGTCCAGACTGTACATCTGGCCAAATGCAAAGTCATGAAGATCGGGGAATGGCAAAGAAGACCTCAGATGGAGTATAGGCTAGGTGGCCAAAGACTGCAAACCACGCTCAAGGAGAAAGATCTTGGGGTGAGTATAACACCGAGCACGTCTCTGGAAGCACACATCAACCAGATAACTGCTGCAGCATATGGGCGCCTGGCAAACCTGAGAACAGCGTTCCAATACCTTAGTAAGGAATCGTTCAAGACACTGTACACCGTGTGCGTCAGGCCCATACTGGAGTATGCAGCACCTTTTTGGAACCCACACTTGATCAAGCACGTCAAGAAATTAGAGAAGGTGCCAAGGTTTGCGACAAGGTTAATTCCAGAGCTAAGGGGAATGTCCTATGCAAAAGGTTAAGGAAAATCGGACTGACGACACTGGAGGACAGGAGGGTTAGGGGAGATATGATAACGACATACAAAATACTGCGTGGAATAGATATGCTGGACAGAGACAGGATGTTCAAGAGAGGGGACACAGAAACAAGGGGTCACAATTGGAAGTTGAAGACTCAGACGAGTCAAAGGATGTTAGGAATTATTTCTTTAGTCATAAAGTGGTCAGGAATAGCCTAGCAAGTGAGGTAGTGGAGGCAGAAACCATACAGAGCTTTAAGATGAGGTATGATAAAGCTCATGGAGCAGGGAGAGAGAGAGGACCCAGTAGCACTCAGTGAAGAGGCGGGGCCAGGAGCTGAGTTTCGACCCCTGCAACCGCAATTAAGTGAGTACAATTAGGTGAGTACACACACACATGTAAAAGCTAGAGGACCAGGCACGCATAACAGAAAAGGCAGTGCAGTGAATCAGAGAATACCTGACAGGGAGGCAACAACGAGTCATGGTACGTGAAGAGGTGTCAGAGTGGGCGCCTGTGACGAGCGGGGCTCCACAGGGGTCAGTCCTAGGACCTGTGCTGTTTTTGGTATATGTGAATAACATAACGGAAGGGATAGACTCAGAAGTGTCTTTGTTTGCAGATGATGTGAAATGAATGAGGAGAATTAATTCGGTCGAGGATCAAGCAGGAGTACAAAGAGACCTGGACAGGCTACAAGCCTGGTCCAGCAACTGGCTCCTTGAATTTAAGCCCACCAAATACAAAGTCATGAAGATCGGGGAAAGGCAAAGAAAACCGCAGACAGAG